AAAGGTTAAAAGATAAAGGCTCTGACGATTGTGTGCTGTGATCATCAGAGCCTTTTTTTTACCTTTTAAAAGCATTTTTTTACAACCTATTCGCCCGAATAGGTTGTAAAAAATGCTTTAAAAAAGTTTTTTTTTAATTTGGCCACACCCACCCCAAGCCACGCCCACAGAACCAGTAATAACAAATTTTACATTTCACCACTGGTCTCTTTGCCTCATCTGCTGAGCTCATCATTTGTCTAGCACTGGTGAAGCTCCACCAAGGAGAGATCATGCTTCCATGCTGGTAGCCTTTTGAAGTTAGGATTGAGGGTAAAGACCATATAGGGAACGTATGGTAGGGCTACAGTAATTTCAGAATGATTTGGTTTGGAAGATGGCAGAGCTCATTTAACCAATTTCCCCCTTGCCTTTCTCTTCTTAGGGTGATTAGCATAGCTAGGACAAGGCAACATTGGAAATACAATACTAAAAGTATTAACACGTTGTCTGCTTGTCCAAATGTGAATAGAAAGGATTGTTTACTATAATTACCAGATGAATTCTCATTCTCTTTTGTCAAAAGGAACTTATGAACTATGGATAGTATAAAAAGGCTATATTTCCATCTCTCATAATCAGGGCCGGATTTAGATTGAAAGAGGCCCTAGGCTATTCCACTTATGAGGCCCTTTCACCAGTGGTGGGATTCAATTTTTTAACAACAGGTTCTGTGGGCGTGGCTTAGTTGGAGGTGTGGCTTGGCAATCATGTGACTGGGTGGGCGTGGCTAGCTGGTCACGTGACTGTGTAGGCATGGGTAGCTCGTCATGTGACCGGGTGGGCGTGGCTATGTGCATAGACTTTTTTCAGAGGGCTGAAAAAAGTCATTTCTGACTGGGCCTTGCACTTTTGACCGGTCCTCACACTTATGACCATCCTCACATTTATGCCCGTGCAGCTTTCTTAACAACCATGTCACTCATTTCACAACTGCTTTTCTTCACCATGGTGACAAGATAGGGCAAAAACGTAAAATGTGAGGACAGTCGTAAGTTCGAGGACTGGTCAAAAGTGCGAGGACCAGTCAAAAATAACTTTTTCAGCCCTCTGAGTAGTCCATATGCACAAAAGGACTACCCAGAGGGCTGAAAAAAGTCATTTCTGACTGGGCCTCGCACTTTTGACCGGTCCTCACACTTATGACCATCCTCACATTTATGCCTGTGCAGCTTTCTTAACAACCATGTCACTCATTTCACAACTGCTTCTCTTCACCATGGTGACAAGATAGGGCAAAAATGTAAAATGTGAGGACAGTTGTAAGTTCGAGGACTGATCAAAAGTGCGAGGACCAGTCAGAAATAACCTTTTCAGCCCTCTGAGTAGTCCATATGCATAAAAGGATACAGCAATAGAGAGGGATGAAGGAAGGGAAGGGAAATTAGAGTAGGAGAGAGGAAGGAAGAGAGGAGGAGAAGGAGAAAGGAAGAGGAAGTAGGGAGGAGAAGAAGAGGGGGAGGAAGAGAAAGTAAGAAGGAAAGAAAAGAGAGGTGGTAGGTTTGAGGAGAAAGATAAATAAATAAAGATAAATAAAACAATAAAAAAGATGAAAGGGAAGAAAGCCAACCCCAAACAAATATAAAGATATTAAGATAAAGAATGAATTGTTAAACTTTAAAGAATAAAAGAGAACAAATATGAATAAATAACAATAATTAGAAACACACATACAAACATACAATGTATTTTCTTTGAACAGAGTATTTGGCCGGTTCACAAATTTAAACAGTGTTTAGTCATTTCAATTAAATTTACAATTTCTATATTTCCTTTTTGCCATATTTATTCCTCATCTATTTTTGTAAAAAACCAATATTACCCTCATCCTCATCTCTAATTTTAATCAAATTCAATTTTTCCCTTCTATTCTATATTATACCCCTTCCCATTGTCATCTATTTTTATATCCATCCTCACATTGGTTAATTATGTAATATTACAGTTGTTTAATATGAATTCAACATTTTAATATAAATCAATTAGTTATATAACTACCTTTTTTGTATATTAATCAATATAAACATGAATATTCCAATTATTTCCATGCAATCCAATTTCTTACAAATCAATTAATTATATTTACCAATAATAATAAACCAAATAATTTCCCCCATATATTCCTCCAAAGCACAACTTAACCATTTCTGCTTTCAACACAATATACAATTAATAGTATCTCAATTATTACAATTCCCTAGTTAAATAGAGCTTTTTTTCTTTTGTTTTAAAATCTCCTCTTTTTCCCTAAATTTCCTGTTGTTTGCACCTACCTTTTTTGGTGAGGAAAAAGAAATCTGCCTGCCTAATTTTCCAACCTGCAAAGCCAACAGCCTGCTTTACTTTCTCTTTCGTTTTTCAGTATAGCTAGGGGGGGGAAATCAGCACTCTTTGCAAGCAAGGAGCAGATCCCTGAGCAAAACAGCTGAGAGCAAATCAGCTGGGGGTCAGGAGCCGATCTAAGCAAGGGCTAATTACAAAAAAAACACCGAACCCTTTGTTAAATTGCTGGCTCCCCCGCCCCTCGCCCACCACTATTTATTGGCAATAAATAGTGGTGCGGAGGGGCGGGGCAAGCCAGCAATTTAACAAAGGGTTCGGCTGCAGCACTGGCTCTAGGGCGGCCCTTTGAAGCCCTGCGGCAAGAATTTAAAGTTTTTTTTTCCTCTAGCCATCGGAGGCAGCAATAGATTGGGAGTGGGCGGGGTAAGCAAACGGCCGACGATCCAACAGAGCAGAGAGTGAGGGTGAGTGAAGGCATGGAAGCGGCTTTCTCCATCCTGCTCTCTTGCGTCCGGAGCCGGTGGGGAATCACGTGGCAACCCACATGGATCCCAGGCAGCGGAACTCAGGCTAGGGAAGGGATGGGCAATTGTGGCTCTTTTACAACCTGTGGCCTTCAACTCCCAGAATTCCTGAGACAGCCAAGCTGTCTCAGGAATTCTGGAAGTTGAAGTCCATAGGTTGTAAAAGAGCCACAATTGCCCACCCCTGGCTACGGTAGGCTGGCGCCGCGCGGGTGGGAGGCGAGGGGCGGGCGAGCCAGCAATTTAACAAAGGGCTCGGCCGAACCCCCTAGAACCCCCAGAATCCCACCACTGTGTAGGCCCCTCTTGATCTTGAGGCCCTAGGCTGAAGCCTAGTTAGCCTATAGGAAAATCCGGCCCTGCTCATAATCAACCATGTCTCATATATGCCTCTCAGGTCTTGATTTGTTTCCCCCAGAACTGATGATAGCTTAAAGGATCAGCATCCAAGGACACTTGGATACTGATTTGCTTAATGAATAATATGGTTTAGTTTGGATCCTGGCATTCTCTAGGAATCTAGCAACCTATGTGCAGTCCTGTGCTGAAGTCCAAGAATTAACTTGATAAGGAGTAGAGTTCTCAACTCAATTATTTCTTCATTTCAGCATGATTGTTTCAAGAAATAAAAGAAAATTTCCCAGTATGAAACATAAAAGTGCACATTAGGAACTTCTCTTTGCTTATGTCTGAAATATAAATTGGTTGGCTGGTTGTCTTTTAAAATAATCCTTACGTTACCTTGACCTAAATTAAAACAAATTTGCTCAGTTTGGTACTTCTCTTTACGGAGTGAACAAAACTCAGAATTATGGTGACTATTAGAGATAATGATCAGTTCAATCCTTGTTTATATCTAAAAGCATCCCTTTTAAAATCTCCAAACATTAAAATATTCCTTGCAGTGAGGTAATTGAACGTTGATGAACAACAGCAAATTGGGAAAAAAACTACCCTCTATAAGATATTAGTATTAAATAGACCCAAAAGCCAGTTAAAGAGATGTTTTCTGCACCACAAAACTTCTTTAATTCCCCCCTTTTTTATAATTTATCTCATAGTGTTTTGCAAATGTGTGCATTTTTGTTTGCATGTGTTGACTGTAGGACTGCATTGCATTATTTCAAGAAATGAAAAAAAAGAAAGAAAAGAAAATCTTTCCAGTTTGCTTATTTGTTTCAAAATAACACTGTGCAACTCTTTGGATTCAGTTCCAAAAAGTGATTTAGATTATAGATATAGCAGCTTTAAACAGTAGCAAATCGGTGTTATATTTGTGCCTCTGCATGTTCCAAAGTATGTTTTTGGAACCTAATCTGAAGCATTGCACAGCTCTATCAGAAAGTACAAATTTAAATACCTTAAAATAAAAATCAAATTACTTTTTCCCCATAAGTTTTTATAATCTTCATAATGCAGATTACATTTGTGCTTGCTGCTCACTATGCTGATTTCTGCATTGGTTCTGTAGGATGAAGAATTAATACTGGGCTATAAAGAGGAAGAACGTGGAAGAAAGTAGATCAAGCATAAACTTTCATGCTTCTCCATAGGAAAGGTTTATGGAAGTCCCATCAGTCATTTTCTCCAAAAATCTGAATACCATCATGGTAAAGATAAAAAAAGCCTCATTTTCTGAGCAGATATCTGTCCGTATATAAGTTGGAAATCCCATGTAAGTTTCATGACTTTATTAAAGTCTAAATAACTACTTCTGAGTTCCACCTATGATATGTATAGCAATAGCACATAAGTCTTATATACTGCTTCAAAGTACTTTACAGTCCTAAGTGGTTTACAGAGTCATCATATTGCCCCCAACAATCTGGGTCCTCATTTTACCAAATTGATGATAGGCTGGAAGGTAGCTAGAAGGCTGAGTCTACCTTGAGCCGGTCAGAATCAAACTCCTGGCAGTTAGCAGAATTAGCCTGCAGTGCTGCATTCTAACCACTGCACCACCAGGGCTCTGGTAAGAGCCAATAACTAACACTAGGACTTCTGAAGGGGAAACAGCTGTTTACTGCCGGATCTTCTCCCTTTCTGTCCACATGATGTTTCCCACCAAGGTCCTGATTGTCTCTGTTCTTGATTATCAAACTCCCCTCCCCCCCAGTTAATTTTCTGTGATGCTATGGATGTGGAGATATGTACCATTTGAGCTGTGGCTCCTGGACTTTTGAATAAGCTATGGCATTCCCCTTCATGGTATTCTTCTTTACATTCACGGCAGAACACAAACTGAAAAAAGAAAAACATAAACAAACATTAGGAATCAAGGGGAGGTACGACAGCCATAGCATTTTCAGATGATCCACCACTCTTCTTATCCCATTAAATTCTCATAATTCTCATAATTTCTTATTTATCATCCATCTGATCACATAGCCTGCTCATTAATACAACTGATTTATGTACTTTTCTCCAACGAAAAAGAATATATATATATTCCTTTTACACATGGAAGCACTGAGGTTCATAACATAAAACAACTTATAAACTTTTGGGGGGAGAGAAGTATTTGAAAAGTCAGAACTATCATCTGTTTCCTAGGGCGAGTTTCTGAGATTAACGTCATTAGAAAATTGGGGCAGGGGGCAAACTTTGTCTTGGATTCCTTAGCTGCACACAAAAGTTCTCCCAAAATTTCCATAACTAGGATATCTTAGAATTTTGGAAATACTGGAGAACAGGGCAGACTGCATTTCACATGAAGATTCTTCTAAAGCCATGGGTCAAAAACATCTGCCAATAAATGTTGCACTTTCCTAATAATAGGGACAAATGAGAAATAGATGAGATTTTAGCAATTCAGGGTTCCTGTAATGATTCTCTAAGCAAGTAATCACTGACTCCTTCAGGATAAACATATCCAGACTGCTATCTTTCATTCATGTCAAGCACTAAGGAAATCAGAAAATCCAGGCAATTTGTTTGATTGATTGTTTATTACATTTATGGGCTGCCCATCTTATCATAGGGTAACTCTGGTGGCTTACAGTTATATATACAATTAAAACATAAAAAATAAAATCTGACATTAAAACCTATGGACACATGGAGTCAGTAGGGGTAGAGTTGGGAGAGATGGGATCAGTTATTGCTCTATCAATCATCTCCATTGCATTGTTCCCCCACTGGGACCCCAAGCCAACTGTCAGAGCCACATCTTTAGGCCCTTACAAAAATATAAGGTTGGGACCAACCTCACATTGGGGTAGGATGTTCCAGAGGACAGGAGGAACAGCAGAGAAGGGTCTCCTGGACCTTGCCAGCCAGAATAATTGGGCTAACGGGACCTGGAGCATACCTTTTTTGCTGGCATTAGTAGGATGAATACAATCTTAGGGTGAGATGGTCCCTCACGTAACCTGGACCCATGCCATGAAGGGATTTAAAGGTGATTAAATGGAAGCACTGAGCTACAAGAATCTGAACTACTAACGGCCAAAGCAAACTAGTAGCAGGTAAGAGTAAAAGGAATTCAAGATGGGCGGGATTTATTTTTCTTGTGGATGCGAAGGGACTCGTGACTGATGATGCACTTGACCCCTCCCTCGAGCTCAGCCTGGTGATCTTTAATTCAATTACGATTATTCATTTGTTACCTGTCCCATTTTCTAATGTCTGTGAACAGCAGCAATGTGTTGTCAAAGATGGAGAGCCAGTTTAGTTTTTCCTCTATCAGTCAGCAACTTTCATTTTAAAACCACTTAGTAAAATTGTAGATGATTTAGTTTTGAATAAACAGAACTATTTAAAAATTACCCTCATGTCTATTGCCTACTTCTTTATAAGACAGAAATCTGCCTTGACATGGAACTATGATCCCTGCACTGTCATCTCCTAATTATTATCCTTGTTGTCTAGAGAAAATAAAAAACAAATAAAGTGAAATATCAATTAAAGTATTCTTCTGGCCAATCTCAAGTACACCATCTTGACCCACCACGAGAATACCGATATATATTTTTCAGCTCCTTGCTACACTGACAAGCCGAGCTGATGAAATACGTCTGATGTTTTGATACAGTCTTGGCTCTTGCATATAATGAATAGACATATCAGCACAACTTGACACTAAAATGTTTATCTGCCTCATGTCACATCTTTGCAGTTCCATTTTGCACTCTGTCATGCTCCTCTTGTCACTTTAAGTACTGTATGAAATCACAATTCATTGCAGTGCTGCAAAAAATGATGCTTATGCAAAGTGAAAACAGGACAACCCGCTGACTACTCTTCAACATCCGTTGCCTGGAGTGGCTGAAAGGTTGAGGCCCAACTATCTGAGTGCAATGCATTTTGCAATGTTGTTCCCTTTTGAAAGATTTGAGCGGTACATTTTCTAGTACGGACATTACTCTAGTTAAGAACTTTTGAGTTGCAAACTTTCACTGAGATGAACAAACCTGTCCATGACTCCAATCCAGAAGATTCTGGAAGTCAGGAGAAAACAGGAAAGGGTGAGTTTCTGGCATGTCACTTATATAATTGCACTCAACAATAAACTAAAGGGCCACCATCAGTGAGCTATTGACAGCATTACTTGGTCTGTTCTGTGGATGTTTGAGTGTTCAAGGGTGGGGAATTGTGGTGGGTGGGAGTGCGTTTGGAGATTATTATGTGTGTTGGACCTGATCTTTGGGTGTTAAGTGAATTTTGTTGTACGGGTATACTGTGTACAATGACAATAAAGTTGTTGTTGTTGTTGTTGTTGTTGTTATTATTATTATTATATTGGTTAATCTTTAGTGAGATTCACAGCCTTTGAGGCTGGTTAATAGCTCAGCAGCTCGAGTCCTAACCAAGGACCTAGGAACTGTTAAGGTATCGTCGGAGGATGTAAGCTGTTCCGAGTAAGGTGGTTTTTTGTAGAGTCAAAATGTTCAAGTCCGGCAAATTTAGAATTTCTAAATAGCGGGGTAGCCCTTTGGGTATTGCTCCAAGGGCTCCAATTACAATCGGGACAACACACGATTTCTTTTTCCACAGTCGCTCAACTTCAATTTGTAAGTCCCGGTACTTTGTGATTTTTTCTTGCTGCTTATCTTCAATTCGTGCATCACCAGGTATTGCAATGTCAATGAACCATACTTTTTTCTTTTCAACTATTGTTATGTCAGGTGTGTTGTGGACTATTATTATTATTATTATTATTATTATTATTATTATTATTATTATTATTATTATTAGGAGTCCTGGTAGTGCAGTGGTTAAAGTGGGGTATTGCAGACTAACTCTGCCCACAGCCTGGAGTTCGATCCTGATGGGGCTCAAAGTTGACTCAGCCTTTCATCCTTCTGAGGTCGGTAAAATGAGGAACCACATTGTTGTCCTATGTTGGGGGCAATATGCAAATAATGCTTCTATATTGTAAACAGCCCAGAGGGTGCTGTAAAACGCTATGGGACAGTATATAAAGCTGAATGCTAAATGCTATTGCTAACCCCTTCTCACTTTCTCATGACTTCCACTCACATACTGTCCTCAGATCTGCTTGCAGACTGTAAAGCAAGGACTGTATTGTGCATGGATTTTTCTTTGCTTATCGGAATTGTGAACAAAATCTTTTTGGAATGTAGCCTGTTCATAAGTAGAGCCCTCTCTGTAGATGTGACATGTTGAAGAAACAAAAACATTTATTTAAATTAATAGCTGTTAAGCCAGGGCAGGTCCACCAACACTCTTTTTAATGGGCCACAATCCTTCTCTTGAGAAGTTGAGCTTTTCTTTTATAGATTTTATTTTTGAAAATTGATGAGTTAAGGAGAGAAGCAATCTTCATTTTGCCCCTTGATTTAGAATAATAAACTCAGACTTCCGTCCCACAACCTTACTACACACCTTTGCTTTCGTACTTCTCCTGACTCACCAACTCCCATAGGATGGCCAGTGATGTTGGTCTTCATTGACCCTTCTTTTTATTTTAGAAGATGCCTTTTTTCTTCTTTCTTTAACTGTACAGATTAATCCATAAGAAAAGGTTTCATATTTTGGGATCTCTGAGCTACCGATATTCTCTTCTATTGGTTTTAATATGTACAGAGTGTCCTAGTTCTTTGCTTATTATGTTCTTTTTTTTGTCACTCCATAGCCCAAGGCAAACTGACATTTATGCTATCTAGAAGGCCATTAGGTCACTTCCTTATGCAAAATTTGAACAAATTAAAAATCAAGTATTAAGAAAACATACTGAAGGAGAAACAGTAATAAATAAATTTAAGGTTTATGCAACTTTTCTATTCTGCAAATATGATAGCTGTGGCTCAACCTCTGAGGTAAGACATTCAGTTTTGGTAAGCAGATCTAAAGACAATATATATAATTTACTACAAATGACATGGGTCTATTTCCAGTATTATATAATGCTACTTATATCTGCTCAAGTCATTGCACTTCCTTTATTTTGCACCATGTTGAATCTCCTCTACACAACTCCTCCACTGCACAACTGAACTTGCAGTGATAATGCAATTTTTCCAGATATGGGGTGATATAAGAGAACATTGTTCCATTAGCAGATATCATTCCATGCAGCATATTTTAAGTATCACCAAAATTACGTTATCATTCTCTGTTCAGAGTCATGTTTCTGAGATGGGCAGCTATATAAATTGATTGATTGATTGAAATAAAATAAGTCACTTACAAAGCCAAGTGACCACTATGAAAAGAATCCTTAGAAGTCCTTAGGTCATATACCGTGTTTCCCTGAAAATAAGACCCTGTCTTATATTTTTTTGAACCCTGAAATAAGCGCTTGGCCTTATTGCCATGCACTCAAATGCCCGACTGGGCTTATTATCAGGGGATGTCTTGTTTTGGGGGAAACAGGGTAGGTGGTCCAGTGGTGGGATTCAAGTAATTTAACAACCGGTTCTCTGCCCTAATGATTTCTTCCAAAAACCAGTTTGCCAAACTGCCCAGAAAGTTAACAACCGGTTCTCCCGAAATGGTGCGAACTGGCTGAATCCCACCACTGGGTAGTCCTCAACTTATGACCACACTTGGGACTAAAATTTCCATTGTTAGGCAAGGCATTTGTTAAGCTATACTTTTTTATGACCTTTATTTTAATGACCTTTTTTTTGGCCATGGTTGTTAAATGAATCAGTGCAGTTGTTCAATGAACCACATGGTTCTTAAGTGAATCTGCCTTCCCCCATTGATTTTGCTTATTGGAAGTTGGCTGAGAAGATTGCATGGTGATTGTATGATCTTGGGATGCCACAACCCTC